TGGACTTTCTTTTCCATTTGGCCAATTCTGCTTTTAAAAGCATTCTTCTCCTCATTGGCTTTTTGGACCTCTTTTGTCATTTGGGTTAGGCTATTTTTTAAGGTGTTATTTTCTTCAGTGTTTTTTTGGGTCTCCTTTAGCAAGCTGTTGACTTGTTTTTCATGATTTTCTTGCATCACTCTCATTTCTCTTCCTACTTTTTAGTCTACTTCTCTTACTTGCTTCTCAAAATCCTTTCTGAGATCTTCCATGGCCTGGGACTGATTTATATTTTTCTTGGAGGCTTTGGATGTAGGAGCTTTGACTTTATTGTCATCTTCTGGTTGTATGTTTTGGTCTTCTTTGTCTCCAAAGAAAGATTCTATGGTCTGACTTTTTTTGTGCAGTTCACTCATGATCCAGCCAATTATTTGCATTATAAATTCTTTGTTAAGGTAGGGGTCTGCTTCCAGTGTGGAGAATGTACTGTCTCAAGCTTCAGGGGTTTTATGTAGCTGTTTTCGGGAGATACTTCTAGGGACCTGTAAATTTTCAGTTCTTCTAAAGTGGTACAATCAAGGGTGATGTGTTTACTCCTTTCCTGGCCTCTGTTCTGGTCTATGAGTGACCACCAGTGCTCTTTTCCACCTTGGAACTGTGAGGAGGATTCTCTCTGTACCGCCACTACAAACACCAGCTCCTTCTTGTCCCGGGATTGTCAAACAGAACTGTGACCCAGACCCAAGCACAGGAAAAGCAAGAGAATCATGCCTCAGCATCAGTAAAAAGATCCCTGCAATTCCTCTCTCATCAGCCACTTTATTCCCCCTCTGTGGGCTGAGCTCCAGAAGCAGCCGCCATGACTGGGACCTAGCTTCTCTCTCCCTGTGGTCACAGACTTTTCCTACTGACATTCTAAGCCATCTTTGGCATTTGTGGGTTGAAAAGTCTGGAAACCACCACAACTGCCTGTAATTCAGTCCTCTGAGGCCTGCTCCAGGTTTGTTGAGGTCTGGTCTTTGCATGAGCACCCACACTGAACTGCATTCCTCTCCCACCCTGGCGCAATAGATCTTTCCAATAAACCATTCAGGTTGTCTTGGGCTGGAAATTTATTTCACTCTTGTCTTTTTGTTGATTCTGTTCCTCTAAAATTTATTTAGAATCATTTTTGTACAGGTATTTGGAGGGGTTTGGAGGAGAGCTCAAGCAAGTCACTACTTTTGCTCTGCCATCTTGGCTCTGCCTCTCTATGCCAATTTCAGAAATTCACTGCCTTCCTCAACTCAAATTCTTTACTCTCAGAGACAGCTGATACTCTCACTATAGCTACCACCTCTACTTTACTATTCCTATACTCATAGCATCCAGACCACCCCTCTGGCTACTTCTTGATGTTGCTAAGTGCCTCATCCTTCGTCCCCACTATGGAGTAGAAATCGCTTGTTCTTTCTTTCATTCGACCTTCTTTTGCAAGGGCAAATGAGGAGAGGTGGGGAAGAAATCTTGCTACAAAAGTAGCAATAATTATAATCCTTTTCAGCCCTAAAGTGTTCAAATCTCAATTCTGTATTATTTAAGATGATAAATGGTGGAACTTAAAAGATTTTTTTTTCTGTTTTGTTCAAAATGCATATATATGAAAGCACATTTTCAGGAATGTTGTAAATTTGGTTCTACAATAAGTCATGGGATTTAGAGTTGGAAGATGTTATCTTAGAGGTCCCCTGATCCATCAGTCTCATTTTAACCCATAAAGTAACTGAGATCCAGAGAGCTTAGATGATTTCACAAGGTCACAGAGACAGTAAATGGCAGGGCTGAGATTCAACCCTCATACTGATACCAGAGGATTTACCTTTTTACTTCATTAAGAAGGAAGCTTCAAAAACTCCCTTCACATCACATAAATTATCAGTAGAAGCATCTATTATCTCCTCCCTCATATCTTGGAGGAAAATTTTTTCCTATTCTTCCCTAAGGAATTCAGTATAGATCTCTTCTTCATGTATTTGGTCAAGTCAGGCACTTATTGCAAACTTCATCTTTTTTAGGACATATTTCGTTTCAGTAGCAATTTTTTCCACTAATCTATTCCATTCCTTAACTTATGGTTTTCTCTGTATTATAAGACCTGTCTACCAGTTTTCAAATATCCTTCTAAATAAACACACATTGTGATGGAGTGGAATGAACAGTGAATGATACCTAGAATTAGGTTTCTTATTCTGCCAATAAGCTATTTTGTGTCCTTGTATGAGTCACTGTCTCTTCTGAGCCTGCTTCCTTATTTGTAAGAAGAAAGCATTGGGTTCAATAATCTTATGTCTATTCTAGATAAAATTTCTAAGATTTTCTTTTTAGGAAACTTACTTTATTTGATTTAAATCATAATTACATACGTATGGCTTAAATGGAAATACCATCTTTTAAAAATTTTTTCCCCATTCACTATCAAGGCTACTCATCATTTTAGTTACTAGAGTTATTACTGTTCTAAACTTACTTGCTATGAATAATTTATGTAAACTGATATAAAATACTGAGCATCATGTTATTCATACATTTTTAGGGAGAAAGGTAATGAGTGCAAGGAAAAAAATTCACTTTCTATGAAGAACATTGACAACATTTGGAGTCAAAACACATATGTCCAATAAAATTTTTATATGTAAAGAACATAATGTCTATACATACATATCTATATCTATATATACACAACTTGTTGAAAGGAAGAGATAGAGTTGTCTGCGTAGATTACATCAAAACTCCCATTGATGTTAATTGAAATTCTCATATTTCACATATCATGTAGAAAAGTTACTTTTAAATGTATTCTTTACACTTCTCAATTACACTAAAGCTGTGCCAAACTTTTGGCTCTTTAATCAGTGCACTGATGAATGAAAATGGATATTTTTGCAAACATTTGCAAATCCAGGTGAAATCTCAACCTTTGGACACAGTTTTCACTGTTGTTTTGTTGTTGTTGAAGTAAAATGTAATCTCCCAGGTTAAATGAGCAATATGATTTAAAAATAGAACTTAATAATTTCTTGATGTTTATCATTAAAAAAGCTGGCTTTTAAAAACAATCGACATTACCACTTGTACTTATTATTTTTTCTTTTTAAATTTCAAATCATATATGTTAAATGTCTAAACTTTCTTCACATTCCCAATGATAATATTTCATCTAGAGTACACACATAATCACATTCCAAAGTGGAAGTATCCACATATGTATACCATGTATAGTCTGTTGGTATAAATTAGAGATACTCCTGAATAATTTTTGAGGAAATGGAATCAATCTAAAAAAAATATTGTAGTAATTCATTTTCAAAGATTATGTTTTCATAATTGAGAAGAACTTAATTTTGTCTGGCACTCAATATTTAGAAGCAAATTTTGATCACATTAAATTAGTTGAAGTAGGATAGAGTACCATATTATTTAAATTTTAAAAAATAAGATTGTTGTTGGCCTAGAAACAGCTATTGACCTACTTACTTAACTTAAAGTTACTTAACTTGAAGAAAATCATTAGCTTTTTAATACACTAGGCCTAGAAGAGTAAAACCATAAATATGCAAAGTCTACATTGGTAAAATAGAAGTACTGCTCTATTTCTCATGGGTATTAAAGGACTTTCAGGAGGGTTGGACTCACTTATCCATTTCTACTTGAACAGTTTTGTCTACTTTTCATTGTAACCAGTTGAACTAGAAATCAATCATTTGTGAGGTATCCAGAAATGCCCCTTTAGCAAATAACAAAATGGAAACTGCATTTGGTGCTGTTATATCCCTGGGTGACACTGGCCCCAATGGCTGATTTGTTGGCATCATTGCCACTCTCCTTTATATCTCCTCATCACTTGAATGCATCCTTTTAAAATGTTTGCAATGACCTCTCTGTTCTTCTACAATAAGCTCTGTAGACACTATTTTAAGTATGAATAAACTATTCATGAATAAAAAAGAGAATAAAAGAGGGAAACAATGAGCAGGAAATGTAAGTCGACAACTTTTTTTTAAAACTGAAAAAGGAAAGAAGATATCATGCAGGAGTCCAAAAAGCAAAGATAAAACAGTTATGAAGCCTTCATAATAGCAGAATGGAAATGTGTGGTCTGTCCCAGACTTGTCTGTGGACTGATATTTATTTGCATCATTCTTTTTCAAAGAACAGATCAAATTATATAATCACCTATACTTATGAGGCACAGGGACTTCAAAATACATAGTTTTATTTTAAATCTGACAAGAGACCCATAGCATGGAATCCTCAATGAGATTAGAGAAAAGCTAGTATTCTATTGAATTAATCATTTATTAAGTATCTGCCATATGCAAGGGATTGCACTGGGTGCTTGATCTAGCAATAAAACAATGACAGTAATAATTATAGTTCATGTTTATGTAGTGTTTTATAGTTTTTCAAATGTTCTTCTCAATTCTGTGTAATTGTTAGCATAATCAGATTTACCATCTTATAGATGAAGGAACTTAAGTACAGAGAGTTTTAATGACTAGACTGTAGTTACAAAGCAAATAATTGGAAATAGCCTTTTAGCAACATCTTCTTACTCTAGGCCAGTATTCTTCATAGAAATACTATGGACTAGAATATTTCTTCTGAAATAAGATAGTTTTCATTTGCAAGGAGCATGTAATATAATAGACGTGGATTGTCCATAAAGAAGGATCATTACATATCATGGGATTACAAAATGGGAGAAAATATGAGGCTACTAAAGCAAAAAATTACATAAGCTGGCCAACTATTCCAAAACAATAGCACAGAACACATCTTCTTGGTGCCTAACAAAGGCAGATGGCGGTTATTTATAAGTCAATCTTTGATCTTCACAATATACTTTTACACGTAGATAGCAATCAACATCAATATTTCAAAGATGGAAGGGTAGTCTAATCCAAATCCAGAATGACCTGTAAGTCTGCACCCCATACGCGTTTTTGGAACAGGGAAAATAATGGCCAAAGGCGTCGACTTACCTGATCTGCTATCCAGAGGTCCAAAATCCAAAGAATACTTCACAACATGGTAATTGTTCCACACATAAAGTAGATTGTCTCGAGGGTTATAATCCACAGCGGCTATGTACTGGTATGAATTTGGAAAGGGTACATCCACCAAACTATCTTTACTTTGGTCAGTGTTGTAAATATAGTCTATCTTATTCCCTGTAGCTTCATTGTCATCATCTTCATATACAGATTTGACCACATACAAAATCCCACAAATCATAAAAGCGTTGGAAGCTGACCTTTTATCATAGGCTGTATCCCATGTCCCTTCAATCCTTAAAGTATAAGGGTTCAATTGGCTAATGACAATTTTACCATTGTTCTGTTCTGTTGCATAGATGACCCATAGCCCATTCTCATCTACTGCCAGGTCTATGTCAGATTTTCCTCCCCACCGGTAAGGGGATGTATCATGGTAATTGGCATTAGCTATGATGGCCTCCCCACTCTTTATCCTAGTCCGCAAGTCAAACTTAACTATATTTCTTGTGCGCTCCTTGTTGAAGAACAAAGCTCCATCATAGACTACAAATCCTGTGCCATCTACTCGGTGAGGGAGCTTGTAAGTTGTGGTTGGCCTTCCAGCAATAAAATCATCCTTGGATGAGTACTCCGTGAGGGTGTCCGTTCTGTAAGGAGTCCAGGGCATGTAATAAATCTTGTCTGAAGCCTGAAGGGGGTCCTTGCACCATGCCCCAGACTGGTGGTCAGACTCAAACAAATGCTCACTCTGGTATACGCCTTTGAGCAGTCCAGGACAAAGAAAAACTGTCAGGAGGAAAAGTTAAAAAAGAAAAACACAATGAGTTTCTATATCTTGGCATGTATTCTTATCTCTCATCATTTTTGGAACTCAGTACTAGAGGCACCTACCACAAAGCTGCTGGAGATACAAATGACTTGTTTATCTACTGTTCTTTCTGAAGCAGGAAATATTTCCTCATTGATTTTAGCTTTTCAAAATATTTTTTTTCTCTTTGTTCGTCACATTTAAGTCAGTTTGTACAGTAAATGTACTTACTTGCATCATTCCTCTTTGCATACATGTAATTCCAATATTTTAATATGTGTACATATATCTACAGTATGTATATATGCATATGTACACACATGTTCTCCATAGTATGTCAATCAGGTAAAAAGATGATTCCTCAGAACATTTTCATGCAATTAAAAAACCAGTGCACTGAAGAATTTCCTGTAAAATTGTAATAAAAGACCCATCCTTATAGCCCAACTGATATTAACAATTTAATAGATATCATTAAAAAGCAAAAAGCAATCCCTTAGTCATTCACAAGAATGCTTAAAGGAAAAGTAGAGTCCTAGAACAGAGACCACCAATTCAGGTAGCAAAAAGGACTCCCAAAGCTGCTATAGTGCATACAGAGCATGCAATCCACACAATTAAATGAGTGATGGATGGAGAAAGAGAAGGCAGGAGAGAAAAGAAGGAAGGAAGAAAGGAATAAGGAAAGAAGAAAAAGGTGGGAAGTTCATTGAGAGGAACCCAAGATCTAGATTTTTAATCAGTTAAAAATGTCCTGTTAAATATAGTAGTATTTGAATTTAAAAGCATGTACCTTCTAATGTTACATGACAGGAGCATAAAAGAATAGTACCATTTACTATGGTCTTTTGCTGCTCAAACTTCAGAATGAAAATGGCCAGCAATTCACTGACACTCAGGTTTTAGTATGATTCAGTAACATACGTTGCACAAAAGGAGGCATAAGACACTTTGGTTGGTTTACCTGTTACAAGGCTGCTTGAAAATTGTTGCAAAGAAAATATATTAAAAATAAAAAGGAATCATGTGCTGTTATTATGACTGTGAAACAGAGAATTGTACTAGGTGGGCAAATTATGTTATCTCAATATATATGAATGCTGAACCAGAATTCAGTATATTATGGGCTGTATTCTCCCCTTGACCCAAACTTGACATAGGCATTAGTGATAAGCTCATTAGCAGAAATCAAAAGCATATAAGCAGGGCAAAACAAATGTAAGATGATAGCCAAAGAATGTTGTTAGGTTTTGAAATGGAAAACAATTACTAGAAAACCAAAGCTTTTATTTTTCCAGAGTAAAAAAAGAGAGCCATGGGGAGAAATTGGCCATTGAGTTCTTCTAAAGGTAGAAAAATCTAAAAACTGGCTATTTGGGTATGATTTAAAGCATTTCACCATTGATATTTAACCATTGAGTTACTTTTTATTTGATTTTCTTAAAATGGCTTATAATGATTTTTCAGTTTACTGTTATAAATATGATGTCCTAGAACATCATTTCTGTTAGGATTCTAGGTTTTTATTATATGCAAACCAATAGGCCTTGGTTATAAAATGGATTTATTTTAGTGTGTTTCAGAAGAGTCCTCCCTCCCCTTCCCAACAACAAATAAGCAAGGACAGGGAAAGGACATATAGCAAAACAAAGCTGGGGGCAAATAATCTAGCATATA